GGACTGAACTGCTATTGGGCTTCATCCTTATGGGATTTTGACCAAAGCTGGTCACAGACATTACATCAGGACACCAGGGAACTAGCTTAACTCGTTGAAATAGGGTATAATATGTCTCCTTTAAACCCCCTTTATGCTGCCCAAATCTGCTGTTTTCTGTGTCTTTTTCACCTCGAAAACGACACCAAAACTCTCCCGTTTCCGGCTCCCCAGGCCTCCAGTGGAAACTACTACTTCATCCCCTACATCGTGACCCCTAACCACGAGTACATGTGCTGTGAAAGCGACGCCCAGCGAAGGGCCAGCGAGTACATGCAGCCCAGTTGGGATAACCTGCTGGGACCACTCTGCGTCCCGCTGAACGACCGCTTCACCAGCCTGCTCAAGGATATCCACGTCACCTCCTGGTACGAAAAAAGGGGATGTTTTTATAACCCGCTGTGGTTTATAGTGGTGCAGAGTCACACGATTCAAAACTTAAACGATTTATTTCGTCCAAAACGTAAGTCTGTGTGTCGTATCTGTCCTTATTTATTTAAAAAATAAGGCGAGATATCAGTTTAAAGCTAATTTCCCTGCAATCCGGGGAACACATTCAAATCTGTTTATAAGAAACTAAACAAGAAACTAAACAAGGCAAAAAATCAAAAACACCTTTGACTATTGTTGGTTTTAACATAACTTTTTTTTTCTCTATTTTTCTTGTATTTCCTGTATGACCTAATGGGTCATGCGAAAAATAATCTTGAATTATTGCATAGTAATAAATTATTAATATTAAAAATGTATTTCTGTTTTTTCTTTTTACATATTTTGGTAAAAGGCCAAATAAGGAATTTAAACCAAAAAAAAAGAAATTTTCTGCTTGTTTTATTCTTGGATCAGGCTTTAAAGGGTTAACGGAGTTCCTGCTTTTTGGATAACTGGATAAAAGCGTTGACTTCCTGTTCCTTTTCTGCCCCTCTCAGCGCCTCTTTTAAGGACACCCTCCTGAACGACATCAGGAAAGCGAGGGAGAAGTACCAGGGGGAGGAACTGGCCAAGGAACTGTCCAGAATCAAGCTCCGAATGGACAACACCGAGGTCCTCACGCAGGACATCGTCATGAACCTGCTGTTTTCCTACAGAGACATCCAGGCAAAGCCCTTTCTTTCTCCAAACCATCGCCGAGGCGCCGTCTGTTGGGAAAGTCAAAGGGTTGAATCAAATCACGTTTTCTGTCTTTTTCCGACAGGACTACGACGCCATGGTGAAGCTGGTGCAGACTCTGGAGATGCTGCCCACCTGTGATCTGGCCACTCAGCCCATGATCCAGTTCCACTACGC